GGGTGCGGCCGGGTGGGGCAGGAGGCGGGAAGGCCAATCGACCCCGCTCGGACTGGAGCTGGTGACTTCGGCGGCTGCCCAGTGACCGCAGGGAAGCCTGCTGAGTCAGCACAGCTGCCTCCGCGTGCCTCTTCCTGAGGTCTCCGCCCGCGCCACGCCTTCGTACCGCAGCTACCGGCGCGGTGGGTCGCCTCGCTGCCTGCAGCTCCTGTTGTCGGGGCGGATCTTTGCCACCGTTGCTGCTGGCTCCCCAGTCGCCACTAGGTCAACTGTTGCAAGCGGCGGCGGATCTGCACCTATAGCTGTCAAAAATGTTGAAAGGTGGGCTTCCTCCGGCCTGCCTCACCAACCCTGTTGACTAATAATTTAGGTCGTTTGGAGTAAGACTCCCTGTGATGAAGCCTAGATCAACTCAATAGAGCCAAGGGCGGAGGCCCTCTCTAACCTGAGTGCTCCAGCCTCTCGCTTGGTGATAGGCACATCACTAGTTAAGCAAGAGACTTTGGAACCTGGTTTGTTCTCAACTCTAAAGCACAAATTCAGAGTGAAAGAATACCAGGACATGGGGGTGGAGTTGGGGAGAAAGCTTTGCTCATTTAGAACAAGACAAACGTAAAGAGCTACAATTAGTTTAAAAATAACGACGGTATCCTATGGTGAATATGATATTCTTCCAAAACAAGCAAGCGTTTTCACCTAACCATAAAACTGGCACACATTTTATTTGCTATCAGCTCTTCTGGATCATGAGAAGCAGGGAGCATTGCCTGTCGCATCCAAATTGCTGGCAGAATCCAGCCATCTTTTAGTCCAGTAAACTTTTAAGAAGAAAACAACGATGTGTCAAAATGTCTATGGTAGGGGCGGGGAGTTAGCTCAGTGGTTTAGGTGCCTGCCTCGAAAGTTTAAGGACCTGAGTTTGGTCCACGGTACCCCCCCCCAAAAAAAAAGGTCAATGCTGCTGCATCAGCAAAAATTTCCAAATTCTTTTTCTCAAATTTGGGCTTGCTTCTGGCCCGAAATACACATTACCTACCTTCTTTTCTGTGACCATAAATAAACCCACATGCAAAATAGTGTTTTTTACTTCAATATTAGGAATATAGCTGTCAGTTTGGGACTAATCCATTTTGTAGTTTTCCATTCTGTGTTGGTACGGTTTCTTGTTCTTGAAACCTTGGGGAAAACCTCAATAAACCATTTGCTTTTAGTTCTTGAATAAAGTCTCTAGACTTCCTCAGTTCTTAGTTGTTTTTCTTGAGTTAGCCTGTTTTATCTGCACTTCTTACTTGCATTTCTAGACTTAAGCTGCTCCACCTGCACTGTCACTTACTTTTAGTTGTCTATGGATAATATCACTCGTGTGTAGGGCAAAATGGTAATGGTTGATCACTTTTCCCCATATCTCAGCCCAAATGAATTTGAGACTTGCTCTCCCATTTCCATATACTTAGTCACCTCCTAAATACACTTTCTCTTTGGTAAAACTCATCAGTTTAGTAATGGGCATACTGCACACAGACAAATCTGGTTTGGAAACAGTCTTGCCGTTGAAAACTCAAGTCTTTAATAGGAACCTGATAATTCTCTCTAAAGCTGACCTAGATGGGTTGTATTTTACATGCAGTTCTCCATAAACTGTGTCTGTGAAGCAACATTACCAATATCAGATAAAACCAAAAGTATATCATGTTCCCTTTCAAAGAAATAGGCAACACACTGTTGCAAATACCTACAGTGGGAAGGAGATTTAAAAGATACACTTCTTGTGTTCAACAGAATTTGCATTCTACTGAGAGGGGTGTACATCAAAAGAACAAATAAAAGGGCAAAATGTATCTGTCATTAGTGGTCTAGATAACGAGTGTTGCTTTTTGTTGTTTTGGTGTTTTTGAGGCAGTCTCACTATGTAGTTGAGACTGACCTGGAGCTCACTATGTAGCCCAGGCTGGTCTGGAACTCACAGTGTTCCTCCCACCTCAGCCTCCAGAGTTCTGGGATTACAGGCGTGCACCACCACACCCAGATACCGAGTGTTGCTTTTATTGCATCATCATGGGCTAGTGTCAGGAAAAGGTATGGGAAAAGACTGATCCTTGCAGGATGGGGTAGGATTCTGAGAAACAGAGCAAAATGGAAAGATGTTATAGGTGCAACCAACAACACAGAAACAACGTAGATCACGGATTGGGGGACTGTTGATATTAGCACCAAATTCATTCTTAATTATAGTTGACCAAGATTACACAGCAAGGAAATGTACATGGAAGCTAAAATCAGAAATTTTATGTCCAGCTCCAGGTTCTAACTGATAGACCTTGTTAACTTTGTCGAGATCTCTCTCTCTCTCTCTCTCTCTCTCAAAACTTTGAAGCAAAGAGTTTCTGGAACAAAAAACCAAAGGTTTAGCATAAATAGTTAATATCAGTCAAGATATCCCCATTTTAAGGATTTTGAAACTTTTTCTATGTGCAGCGAAGAGTAACTGAATGCTTCCTTATAAAATAACTAAAGTGGCTTCTTTGCACACTGATTTTATTTTAACTCGTAAATTTGCTTTACACTGCACAAATACATTGCTGCAGTGTGCCAATACAGATTTGCAGATTAGAAGCAGATTTTATTGCACAGTAGCATAAACCCTCATCCGTGAAGACGTCTCAAATTCCCCCAGTCCAGGTGTTGGCCTTGCCTGAGCCAGTTACTAACAAGAATTGGCTCTGTGCAGCCACCGTCTCTCATTTGAGTTCCCATCCAATCAGAGCTGGAGGGAAGGGGCGGGACCGAGAGACGCGCTTTGAGTTTCTTGCTGTGCCTATGCGGGCGTGTTTTTACCATGGAGAGTATTTGTGCGAAGTTTGTGTCTCAAAAAATCAGCAAAGCCCGCTGGCGACCGCTGCCTCCCGGCAGCCTACAGACCCCTGAGACCTTTGCCACGGGATCTTGGGACAACGAGGTAACCCCGCTCCCTGGATGCGTAGCCCCTGGCTCCTCAAGGGTTTTCCCGCCCCTTGTCGTCTGCGGGCAAACTCCCTTTCTGGCTCTTTTCTCTCTTCTTGGGCCCCGATCCTCTGTCTCGGGCTCTGTTGTCCTGTAACTTAAGAGTCAGAGATGGTATACTTGAGTCTTGTATCTAGTTTTAAACTCTTACCATGCCATTCGCTAGACGTGCTCCCCACCCCCCACCTTGCCCCGTTTCCGGTGATCGAACTCAGCACTTTGTGCTTGCAAGGTATGCGGCCGCACCATTGAGCTAAATCCCCGGCCCAAATAAATCTTCCCTTTCCTTTTTTTTTTTTCTTTTTGGATCGGGGATCAATCTCCACTCCTTGGCGCTTGTGAGGCTGGTGGCAGCACCAATGAGCTAAATCCCCAGCCTTTGACGTGCTTTTGAAGCAAGGCAAAGTAAAGGAATACAAATTTTACTTTTCTAGAGTTGATGTCATCCTAAGATAAAACCTTTTGCTTTGCAGGACAATTACGTTTCACTGTGGTCTATTGGAGATTTTGGAAATTTGGACTCTGATGGTGGGTTTGAAGGAGACCATCAGTTACTGTGTGATATCAGACACGATGGTGATATCATGGATTTACAGGTAAATCTTAAAAAAAAAAAAAAATCTGTGTTGTACCCAAAGCTAAGTTTTCAAAAACAAAGCAGTACGTTTACAGATGTGTGGTTCTCAGGGTCTACAGGAAACTGAATTATCTGTGGCTTATGATTTCTCATTATTAGCCACTTGTAGAATTAGGACTGGAAAAGTGAGTTTTAGATTCAGTCATAGTTTTAAAATTCAATCATAGTTTTAAAATTAATTGCCCATGTACTATGTGCTAAACTCTGTTTTGGGAGCTTACTACTAGTTAATTCTTACCGCATGTGTATATAAATCGGTTTTTTTAACCCTCTCTGGTGTTGGGGACTGTACCCGGGAACTTGTATATGTTGGGCAAATGCTCTACCATTGAGCTGTATCTCTAACCCTAAAGTATTAATATCTCTGCTTTACTCTGAGAAAATTAACACTAATGTCTTCTGGGCTCATAGTATGTGTCAAAAACAGTGCATGACAGTGTATATAGAATTGATTTTTGAATTTTCCTAACAACTTCCTAAGTAGCTATTAGTACTCTCCCTTTTTAAAGGTTCACCAAAACTTAAAGAACTTGAATTCTCTAAATAGAGTCTCAAACTAGGCCCAGTGGCTGGCACCTATAATGACAGCACTGAGAGGCTGAGGTAGGAGGATCCCTCCCTGAGAGTTCTAGGCTAGCATGGGATACATAGACCATGTATCAAAAATCCAGATAGATAACAAATACTAAATGGTGGATATAAGTAAGTTTTCAAAAATGGATGAAGAGGTGAGTGCCGATGGTCCCAGCTGCTGGGGAGGCTGAAGCAGAGGATCTCTTGAGCCTAGGACTTTGAGATCCACCTGGGCAATATACAGAGAATTCATCTCAAAAAAAATTAAGTTTTCAAATTGTGATCTGTGTGACTTCCAAGTCCATGCATTTTACCCTGTAGAAAGCTGCCTAGCAATTATACTTTTCTAAACTTTTATTGTTGTGGTTCCAAATTAAATAAATTATATGTGAATGAGTTTAGGGAAAATACTTATCCTTCATGAAAATACTTTTATTTGTATAGCAGCTTTGACTTTGAGATCTATTAACACATTTTACTGGCTTCTTATCTGTGGGCTCTTTGATTTTGGTAATTGTTATATGGTTTACAAATTGAGTTATACAAATGGGCTTTTCTCTACTAAAATTTCTGAATCTCTAACAAGCAGGAAATTTCTGTTTAGTTTTTTGACCAGGAAAGAATTGTAGCTGCTTCATCAACAGGATGTGTAACAGTTTTCCTTCACCATACAAATAATCAGGTAAACAACTTTTACTTGAAAAGTGAGTTGTACTTTATTCTTCTGAATGCTTAAAGAAAATTGTGCTTAAAATTATACAAATAATGAAGTGTTAAAACATGAAGCAAACTGGCTGAGGTGACAGGTGCCTCAGTTATTCTAGAGCCTCAGACAAGATTACTTGAGCCCAGAAGTTTAAGCCAGTCTGTCTGGACAACATAGTAAGAGTCAGTCTTCAAAGAAAAAGAGTATGTACTTACTTCTAAGCTGTACCCACAGCCCCATCTTACCCATTCTTTGCCAGATTAATTCTAGAACCATGTGCTAGAACATGTACTTTTATGGGTATCAGACACCCCTTAAATTTTATTAATTAGATATAGCAATATGGTATTCTGATGGGTAAATTTCCTGGAGTTTTTCTTCTTTTCCTAGTCTAGTCTTTCGAAGAAAAACAGAACACCTCTAGCTCAGATTCCATGAAGGAGAACAGGAATAGCTACTTTGCTTCTATGGGTAGAACACAGATCTTAATTAGAAGAGAAGATTCGTTACATGAAGACTGAAGACTTGATCTTCTTTTAGTCAACATGGAATCATCTAGAAGAAGCTATAGATATTTATTTTCTAGATATATCCCATTTCTCATAAGAATTTATAGAAGTGCTTTTGAACATTCACTTACTTAATACCTAAAAATTTTACTTTAATTTGATAACAAATGTGAGCTATTATAGAATGACATTCCCTGTGAGTCTAATCTGGTACATACAGAGCCTTGATAAGAATACTTTCTAAGTATCAGTACTCTAAAATACAAAGGAGAAAAGAATGAGTTATTTTTCTAAAAGAATTTTGCTTTGCTTAATAGTATCCTCGTTTCTGATGCCTAGACTTTATCAGTCAACCAGCAGTGGAAAACAGCTCACCATCACACAAATCCCAGTGGTCCTGTCTATAGAGGTGCGCCATGTACAGATATTGTGTGCGACAACCCAGAAATTGTCACAGTTGGAGAGGATGGTCGAATAAATCTCTTCAGAGTTGATCACAAGGAAGCTGTAAGAACTATAGGTAAGAATATTTCTTTCATCCATCACATAATGACTGAGTATATACTAATTAAGTGCCAGATGTTTAAGGAATGTAAAAATATAAAAGGCAGGGCCCGGGATTTAGCTCAGTGATTCTGCTGCCTGCTTCGCAAGCACAAAGTCCTGAGTTTCATCCCCAGTACCAAAAAAAAAAAAAAAAAA